TTGAGTTACAAACGAAACGAAAAGCGGTACAAACAATTCCAAAGAATAGGGAAAAACAAATTTCAAAAATCTCAATGTCGGGTGCTGAGATTTCTCTTGATTTTTTTTAATTATTAATTGATTAAGATATAAACGAAGGTATTGGTGATACAATCAAGTACAAACGAAATACTATCACTTTCTATAAAAAAAGAATTAATTTTTGAAAAGTCGGGTGCTAAGTTCATATAGCCAATTTTTGTTTGTCTGTAAACAACTTGCAAGTCATATACTTTGATATTTTAGGTTGATGGTGCTCCTAACCGTCGTCAATATTGTTATTGGTTATTAGAGACATTAAATGTATAATTAATACGTCACCTTGTGAAAAGACTATAATTATTTGATAAAATGTCGATATATGTGTTAGCACATAACCTGAAAGTTATGTAGGCTAAAAGAGAGTTAACAATCAACCATTGTGATAAATCATCAGCTGTTGAGTGCAATGTGACAATTAACAGGATGATTATATGAACGGTAGTTCCAACCCTTAACACATTGTCCACCACGTAATAGAATTTTTCTGTTAAGAAACTAAGAAATAAATTTTGAATTTGGGATATTGAAAAAGAAATTCGTTTAAGTGTGTGGTACTTTTTGTTCCATGACTGATAGATGTCGAGAAATCCGTCCTCCCGTGGCGGTGTTTTCAAAAAAGCTGTTTTCGACGTGGGGCTCTGTCGCCGCCATTTTGTAAGAAAATGACAATAAAAAAATTGTTTTTCGTTCTTCAGTATGTGTTAAATAAACCCCCGGAAAAAAAATTCTATTCCATCTGTCACACTACCAAAATAAATTGTCAAGATTAGGACTTTTTTTCTGCCTCTACAGTGGTTTTACCCCTTAATGACATGAAAGGTACTATTGCACTAACGATTTTTAGACAGTATTATACTAGCAACCTAATAGGTGCCATTGTACTATCGATCTGAAATACAGTATTGGACTAATAACCTAACTGTTTCATTCGCAACCCGAAAGACACCATTCCCCTAACGGCGCGAATTGCAGCATTACACCTGCAGCATGAAAGCCAGGGTTTCGTTAGAGAATAAAGGATTGCAATTTGTAAATATTTCCCGACAAATCAGTATAAATAGCCATAACATAAATGAGATCACCAAGCGAAAAAGGATTAAGTACCTGGCCCAGGTCTGCGCGAGCCGTAAGTTTAACGACACTGCGAATAATACATTTTCTAGTACTCCCGGCCAATTTTAGGACTCAACGCGCAAGATTCTTCACTGTCTCAAAAACCGTTCCTTCCAGAAACGCGTTCAACGCTCGCCTGTTAGTTTCTCAAAGGCGATTAATACAGCGAAACGCTTCTTGGTCGAGAAGCAATTCATAATGAACCGTTCAATGACGCATTCGAAAATAGAGCGCTCGACTCACGAGAAACGTGCATAAAGTAATCCCAACCCATCTCGATTTTGATGAAAATTTGCAGGTTTATAGGACAGCCAGAAATAAATAATAGCAATTATTAAAGGATTACTCGAGTTTAAAAGGTGAAACTATTTTTCGGAATTTCACTTTATCAGAAGTCCCATCTCTGCTCGCTTCTTGTAGTAAAACGATAAACGAGAATTTAATGTACTGTGTAGATATGAGAAGTTGGCTAGTGGATCTGTTTGCTAAGTTAGACTGCGAAGTTTTATGCAATTATAGGAAATTTGAATGTTTATGAAATCACAAAATGCACACAGTATGCAAGAGTATAAAAAAAAATATTGAAAGTGATGTTCATATTTCAATACTTGCAGAGTAAAATAAATGAATGAGTATAATAACTCAGATTATATTATATAATTCTACAGTACAATACAAATTACAATATAAAACTCTATAGTATAACCAAGACAATTTTACTGTTATCAATCAGCCCCACTGGCCAACTTCTCGTCTCTACACAGTACCAGACACTAGTGCTGTCGGTACAATCTCCTACATTATCCTACATAATTCTACAGTACAGTATAGATTATAATTGTTGAAAGATGCAATACATTTGTCCTGCATATGCGTGAGTTTTGTATGTCTGGAGATGGGTCACTCTTTGCGATATGTAAATACATATATGGATGTCACGTGACTGAAAAAGAAGCAAAAAGTGTGCGGCGCTCTCGTGACGTTAGTTCGAGTATGTACCCTTGCCGCGTGCCGTTAATGTTTTTGAATGCTCTGATTATTTTTCAATATACTTATTAGTAAAACTCAAGTGTGATCTTTTCATTTCTTCCAACGGCATCTCATCTTTTTAATAATATAAAACTCTATAGTATAACCAAGACAATTTTACTGTTATCAATCAGCCCCACTGGCCAATTTCTCATCTCCACACAGTACTAACTCTATAAGCACTGCATTTTTTTCAGATTCAGAGTTCACACATCCTATGTTGGCACTACGCAATCAAGTTCTTTACGAGTACGAAAACTTCTTAATTTAATTAAGATTGTGGAAATCTAGGAGATCCCTCCTGGTTTTCAAAACAGGAAGTACTTGTGGCTAGATTTCCCTAATTAAGGGCACGCGTAACGTCTTTAGACTACTTATTCGCATGCATACGGGCTTGTTCGTAAGCCGTATTTAAGTTTCAGTAAACAACTCATTATCTTAAAAAGCAGAGTTTCGTTCCAGATCTGCCAGTTGGCGTCTTTGGTAGGGCTTTATCTGGCACACTCCGCCACGAATGTGATTAGATGCGAGACACGAGAACTTAAACTAATTCTCGCAGACAAGAAATTTGCTAGTAATCAGTAACCATCTGCATGTCGTAAAATCGAAACACGCGAGTATGTTATTAATTTACAGAATGCTGAGATAAAATTGTCCGCTAGATAAAGCTTTGTGTGATCTATTTACTTTCATTGACCAATTGAATATTTTCATTCATTATTAAATAATTAGAAAGAGCATTTACTTCTTATATATTGTGGGTGGTTTGTGAAGAATAATTTTAGATTATTATTCATTTTTCTTAGCTTTTTAGACAAGATAGAATTTCTGCAACTCGAAATACATAACAAATACATTTAAAATTATGGTGTCTCCAATGAATTTTGTACCAATTGAACGTGAAAAGCTGTTTGAGCATAAGGCGTTTGTTCCTTAAGATAAGTGATACGCCCAACCTCTACAAGGATACTACGCGCGCACGTATAAGTTTTCCACTTACGTCACATGCTGTAACGCGAAATTAACTACTAAATTCGTGAATAAATATTCACAATTACTTTTCCCAAAGACGTGGCTGGGCAACATCGTCGCAAGGTTAATAGATATCATGGGTCAATATCGGTAAGAAGTTTGGTTTACTTCGTACAAAGCTATTCGTCCCTGAAGAAGTTCAAACGATAGAAGAAAAATATACTCTTACAGTTGTTACCGTATTAATAGAAACGGACGTTTGAGACGGTTTCTCTCTTCAACGCCGGTATCTGGAATATTTGGAATTCTTTTTTAATGTTCGCGATACATGAAACAAAAGCTTGCTTGTGCTGATCGACTTTCTAGCGGTTCTTTTTAACCGACTTCGAAAAAAGGAGGAAGTAACCTCTTGCATCTTGTAGAGCATGCCTCCCAGTTGGTCCCGTTATCAAGACATTTTGTGATTTGTAATTTTTTACCCAATTTTTTTTGCAAAAAAACCGAAAAATGTTTTCACGTATGTTCGGCCTGAGAAATATCGATTGAAACATCTGGGTTACGTAAAATAAAAGACAGCCACCTACTGATTCACGAAGGAACACGCGGTTGAACAGTTAGCTGAACGCGAACGACATAAATAGTAGTCCACGCGGTGAAACTCGGGGTACAGCTTCTCTGAAACAACTAAACCGATTTTGACAAGACTTTCATTGTTAATAACTGATGATTTTATGATGTTCCCATTTGGAAAAATTTATGAATTTCTTAATGTTTAATAATAATGTTTAATAACAATTTCTACTGAAAAATTCCTATTCTTTGGTGTAACTCGGCAAGGAATAACCGATCGAGATGGAACCTTGCACATTTAAGGAAAGCTGATTTCATGATGTTCGAATTTGCAAAAAATTAATGACTTTTAAACATTTATAACTATTGTTATTGCAAAATTCCTATTCTTTGATGTAACTGGTCAAGGAATTAACCGATCAAGATGGAATCTTTCTTTTCAATGGCTGATAATTCCATGATGTTCGAATTTGCAAAAACGTATGAACATTTTATTAAATGTTTATAACTATTGTTATTACAAAATTCCTATTCTTTTATGTATCTCGACAAGGAATTTACCGATCGCGATGAATTCTTTCACATTAGTAACAGATGTTTTCGTGATGTTCCCGTTTGCAAAAGTTTATGGACACTTTTATTGTTTAATACCATTGTTGCTTCAAAATTTATATTCTCTGGTGTAGCTCAGCAAGGAATTTACCTATCGCAATGAATCTTTTCGCATTGAGTTGCACGCGTATTCCTGAATGATCCCATTTCCAACAATATACATATTGTCCATAACTATTGTTATTGCATGAAGCATATTGGTTACAGATTGGCCCTAAAATGGTGAAGTAAATAAATTTTTGGTGAAGTAATTTAATTTAAATATATAACCTACTCCGAAAAACATTAAAATTGCACTAAAAAGTATGAAATAATTTCTATTTGAATGCAAAACTCTTTTCAATGCAACCTTTTCAGAGGCGGCGCAACATTCAAAATTTTTAATTTCGGTTTGAATTAGTTTTTGGTGATGGTGGCAATATTGAATGCTGTTAACGTACACATGAATACTGTCTACGTGGAAGTACTGTCTGGACGGTTTGATGTATTTGTTTTGGCGAAGGACGGGGCCAATATTGCATACAGTTAATGTATATACGATTGAATAGTGTTAATGTATATGATGTCTAAAGCAGACATAATAATAGCAATAATTAAAGACTCAATTTTTAGTTCCTATGTAGGTAATTTTTAATTTTGCGCTGCCTCTGAAAAGGCTGCATTGTATTTAATATGCTGTATTTAATAATTTAATCAAATTCATCAAGAGCTGGTGAGTAATAATACAGTTCAAATAGAAATTACTTCATACTTTTAAGTGCAGTTTTAATGTTTTTCGAAGTCGGTTATATTTTTTTCCAAAAATTAATTTCTAGGTAGATGCTAATGGAAATTTCTTTTAACGTATATTATTTGAATGTAAATTTTAATGCATATTGTTTATAATACAAATCTTGATGTACATTATATTAACGCATATTTTAATATATATTGTTTTAATGTCACTGTTTAGAATTACTTATTTTAAAACTAGTCTAGTTGATGTTACGTCAAGAGCGTACAATATTGATAACAATTTATTCGATAACTTGAACTATTTCTGGAACACTGGAAATTTATTCATTTATTGAAACATGCTAATGTAGATTAAATTTAATATATATACTATTTTAATGCAAATTTTAATGTATATTTTTTTAATGTTACTGTTTAGTGTCGGGGTTACACCGAGTGTACATTGTTGACAGTAATTATTACTACTATTACACATTGTTTGTTTGTCAACATTTGAAAATCTAAATAATGAAGTATTCCCTAGTCCTTAACAATCAAATATTCCCCATGAATTTTATACACTAATACCTATTATTCCATTCGTAATAAAATAATATTATTAATAATGACACGTCAAGAATGAATACTGCTGGTTATTCCTGGTAATTCCCCAGAGAACAGCGCAACGTGTTGCGCACACCAGTTACGTGCAATTAAAAATTCACGACGTAAGCGGACGATTGATAACGCAACCGCCACAAGGACGAAGTTCTATGACTTGCAGAACTCTAGGAAATACGCAGCCAACAATCTACATACGTCCGTAGTCGCGAATCGGTCGCCGATAACGCAGTTAGTATACACCGAGCAACGTAAAACCCCTTTCGACTCGCGGTGCGCGAATCGGTAAACAAGTCGAACCGTTTACGTTCAACGACACGACGAAAGCAGCAGACTGGCAAAACACACAACGTCGCTGGAAAATCCTGTCTATCAATTGCGAATCGACCGTTGATAATACACGTGGCGTGGTTCGCGCACGAGAAGTCGAGGGTAGCCGTTTCCCATCAAATTGCGAAGTCGAGCACGGAGTATCACCACACTTTATAGTTCATTTAATTTCTGTACTATTGTTTTTTTATCAAATTTGTATTACCGAAGCAATGCTTTCATGAGTGAAATCGATTTAGTAGAATTAATCAAGGAAGGATTAGATAAAAATGAATATTTGGATATAGGTACGAGTTAAATCGAAAAATGAGGGTATGAGGATTTGCACTCGGGACCCATAGATTATGAGTCGAGTACTTTCTTTACTGAACCATCGGCTCACACTATCAGTCGTGTTTTTATTTGACTCATTATACTATAGATGACGTTGGTTATTTCTTTACATGGATAAAGCGTAAGTGTTCTGTACCTTCCCTTCCCTTCCCTTCTCTAATAAGGAATATTTGATTGATACAAGGACTATAGAATATTTCATTATTTAGTTGTTTAAGTATAGAAAAATAAACAGCGTGTATAATAACAGGCAATGTATGAATAAATTTTTAGAGCCCTAGACAAAATTTACGTTATTCCATAAATTATTATCAATAATGTGCACTCTTGGTGTAACATCCACACTTGAAATACTACTTTCAAAATAAATTCAGAATAGGTCAAAACGACCATGCTCTGTAAACTTATTGCGAGACGAATTCCTCGATTAGCGAAGCTACTCGAGTCTAGTATCGTTTTGTCTGAAATGCCTAGTTTCCGTTGAATTATTAACTTGTTGCCTTATAACGCTGCGTTATTTTAGTGACTCGGATTACGATCCAAGTGTGACGAACACGAGTCGTATTCGCAACTCATAGCAATGTACCAATTTTGCTGTCGTCGACATTCAACGTTTGCAACGGTTGAACGTACACAACGAGTATATACATTAATGGATTTCGTCATAATCTTTTGCTTTACGACTTACGGAATGTTAAATAATTCTAGGAATAATAATCAGAGGATAGGACATTTTTCCACAAACGAGATAAGATGACAGAATTAAGGCAATCAACTCTTAAGAAGATACAGTGGGTGTAGAAAGTATTCGTACACCGATCAATTTCCCAAAAAACTGTGTAAAATTGTAATTTATTAACTTATATTTTATAAACAATGTCATTCTACATGTTCTAGGAAATCTCTAGAATAGATAGATTACAACAAAAATAGCTATTTATGTAAGTTGCGAAATTAACAAGAAAAAAAACAATTAAGCGATAGAAATGTTGAAGCAATAAGTATTCGCACAACTGTTTAAAAGTACTTTACTGGAAATTTGATGTTTTCTAATTCTTACGGAGCAATAAACAAATGTGTTTACGTTACAAACTCTGCTGTAAATGGTTCGTCATAAGAATCGTACAAATACTTATTGCTTCTATACTTTTACCCACTTTTCGCAATTTTTTATTAATTTCACAAATTATATTAACTAGTAAATGTTGTTTGAACTATATCTATCTTAGAAACTTCCGAGAATATGTAAAATATCATAGATTATAAAAAAAGAAGTTAAGAAACTACAATTTCACACAAAACTATGTTGGCAAATTGATAGATGTACGAATACATTCTATACCCACTGTATATGTATAGTAGAACAAGTACCTTTTGAAACCGAATTGGTGGCAATCGATAGTTTCGATAATTGCGATTCTCAATTTAGTGGAATAATACTCTTGTTGCGTAATCGCTAGGGCTTAGCCAATTTGACCCCTAATCGAGAAAACAGATTAAGTACGTCTTATTTTATCTAACCGAATATGCGATTAGGTTTGCTATAAAATTTTGATCAGAACGATTCGCGATTAGGTTTGCTATAAAATTTTGATCAGAACGATTCGCGATTATAATTTCTATATATTTGTATTCTACTATCTTTTTATTATTCATAAATCCATCTCTTTATCTATAAAGATGCATTTGTCTAATAACAATATACAGACTAAACGAAAACTGGGAGCGCCAGGATTCGAACTTGAGTTCTCCAGATTCATAGTCAACGCTTTTCCCCACGGGACTATTCCGCATCCTACTAGTCGTTGTTCTTACTGAACTTCTTATTACTGACAATGGGTATGAGGGGGGGGGGGCACGATACTACATCATCTAATTGAATAAATAACTGAATTTAGATGATTACTTGAATTTTATAAAAAAAATTATTCTGATGACTTATTACAAGGCTAAGGATTTTAAAGATGAGAGTTCAACACAATTCACGAATGATTCAACACACGAATCGTCTCGTGGCGAGCACATCGAAGACTATACTTCGTTATTAACGCGTTTTATCGATTCCACGTGGACGTACCGCGGGTTTCTACGTTGCTTCAGGTGAGATGCAGCGCATATCTTCCGACTGGTTGTCCATGTATGCCACGGTGCTACGATTCAAGGCCGTTATTGACAATCTATGACCTACTATTATTTTCAAACGTGATGGAGACATTTACGCGAAAAAAGAAAAACGAACGCAAGTTCACCGTTAAAGGATTTTCCAAGAGGAGCTTCAGGATTTTGTTTTTTTAGCAACACCTGGAAGCATAGTCGACATATTAATGTAAATTAAATAAATATAAATATGTTACATAAATATAATATATAAATTAGATATATTTTATACCATTCGTGTTTTATCAAAAAATAAAATCACGAAGCCTCTTTATAATTATATTTCCCCTCTTGAGAAATCCTTTATAATTCTTCGATCACGATTTTCAAAATATCATTTTGCAAGCAATGACTGGGATCAAACGTTTCTCCGAGGAACTTGATCGTACAACGTATACCATAGTGCGATTATAAGGCTTATCTCGCTTTTATCGAACAAGGAGCTTAAGGTTTCGTTACTGTCGTTTTATGAGATCGACGGTATTTTATTTATTTATACTCATTCGTCTTTATATTTAAACTGTATTACTCTTAAACGTGATAATGTTTAGTTTATCTCCTGAAGGCAACCAGCGAACGATCAACAAATTCCAAAAAATAAATAAAATTATGCTCCGCTTACCAATGTCATTCTACATTACCAAGAAATCTATATTGATTCAATGTTATTTCCGTAGCTATTGTTAACCAACAGGCTACCTTTGAAATAACATTGTTTGAAATATGAAATAAATTTGTAAGGTCAGGTATTTCTGTAACAATATACGTTCCTCAAATTTCCAATACTTTTGGGTTCATTTAATGATACCAAAGCCCAAAAAGTGTATTTCCAGAATTTTTGTTTGTTCACCCAGTACTTAATACTTTGTATGCGATAAACAAAAATAAAACCGAAACAAAAAATATTAATTTATTCACACGCTCCAATTGGCACTACATAAACAAAGATGTACCGTATACTTTCTAATGTAGTAGGGTATACTCAATTTTAACAAATTGTATCCGATATTAGTCTGTAAATAACGTATGAACCTATTTCACGGTTATTTAATTTTTTATCTACAATTACGCAATCATATTTGATAAAATACCAACAGAAACAACAATTTTGTGTAATCAAAATAGTCTGAAAATACTCTGGGAAAGTGTCTAACGTACGCCACCAAAAATATTGAGTTGATTCATAAATAACTTTCATTGCATTTACAATTTTTAATTTTCCTGTTAAGTAAGAGCAAGTGACCAATGATGGTGATTACATAATTGATTAAGCTTCGTTACGTAGTAATGTATTTAGATATAAATTTTAAGTTATAAAACGGAAGTTATTTGTGAACCAACCCAATATTTCTAAATTTTTCAATAAATCAAATTAAAAATGTAGTTATAACCGAATTCGATGGTACTATATGTGCATAGAAGGTGCTTCTTTCTGATGCTCCAAGACCTCCCTTCTAACGTCATAATTGTATTATAACAGAAATATTCACGGTTCCGACTGATGTAATAAAATTCTATAGAACATCGAGGAAGATGATTCAAAGTATTTCGCTGATGCGGGCCATTAAGGAAACTTCGAACACGTGTACCAGACGACTGGCAGTGGAATCGAGAGTGGTAGGGATAAACAACATGCGTCGTGTATAAACCAATGCTAGCGCGTAGTTCGATAAAGTCACTTTTACTGCGCTACTCGACTCCGTCAGGCGGATAGATCCATGATATATGTATATGTATGTATAGGAAACTCGACTAACCGAAGTCGGCTACAAACGACTATTTCGTAGCTCGTGTGGCTTCTTCGCGCACCGAGAAGAGGTACAAACGCGTAATTCCTGCGTTAGACAAGTCTCGTAAAGTTACATTTGTTGTACAGATAGCAGAATAACGTATCGCGTGACGTTTAATTAAATATGTACACACAACGGAAACGGTGTTCTGCTTCTGATACGTTACAATGGTAAATAAGCATTCCATCAGTATCTTAATACATTCAGTATCCCCCGAATCCAAAAATATCCAGTCAACTTTTACACACTGACTACGTTAAAAACAATGGGTAAGACGAACTTTAAATAAACACTGGTTTCCTGTACTTTGAACGGTTTGGTATATGAGATCTGCAATAAAACTGTTTCCTTGTAGGCCAAATAAGCCAACGGATGCATTAAATATACTGCACGTACAAGCCAAGGACACAGAAAAGTGACAACGATGCTGTGTTTACTTACCGTTGAGACCATACTTCTCCTGGTTCCTCTTGACCTGATCAACGGACAATCCTTTCTCTGGATCAACGTTAAAATAATTTAACACCTCGTCCACGGTTTTGCAATGGCCGTCCTCCATGGTTGCTTCTGTATTAGTATGTCACTAATTTTATTTGTTTAATGGTTGTCCACGTTCATTCACACTGTAGTTTCTGTAATACAGACATACCTGTCGATTAGAACTTAATTAAGTGAAAATTGTGAAGGTTTATTCGCGCTACACCAAACAGGTATTAGTAATATAAACCGGAAGTATAAATGCCAAGAGTAGTAATAAAAAGTACAAAGATTCACAATCGAAACAAGTCCTACGAATTAATTAGAAACTATTTCTAATTAGAAAAGAACAAAATTCTTACTCAAATAAGAAGTTGTAATGATGAATTAGGGATAAGGAACTATGTAAAGTTACTTGTTGTATTAATCTTATAATTTGAATTACAGAATAAATTTAAAACAAACAAGAATTTAACTGTTCAATCAAATAAACGTCAAAAATAAACCATTGTATGTGTTGGTTTTATTCATTATCTATTGTCCATACAAAATTTGACCTATCTCTGTTTTTAACCAAACATTTTAAGACCATGGAAAAAAGAGTTCTTTGATGCCTTGCTTTTGAAATAAGATTATTAAATATAAGAATGAATTCGTGCCTAAGACAACATGTTTCAATCCATTCCTATTGACTCATCCTTGACTACAAACTCACTCAGTTTCTCTACAAGACTCTATGTTAGAAAACAAAATATCTCTTACATTAATATCTCCATTTAGCAAATTTTTTTTTTTAAATGAATTGGCATCATGTCCTGATAACCACTCTTAAAATACAAAATAAAACAGGTCTATTTACATATTCATACATACACACACCATGCATACAAAACTTTGTAACCGTTTTTTTCAGTTTTAAACCTAAACCACCTCAAAACATACAGAAACGTTGAAAAATCAGAGGTGTCACATCTTCACCAATAGCACACATCCCCCCTGTTCCATGCAATAACAGCCGGGAAAGTAACAGTGGAAAAGTAGGTCTAGTTAAAGAGCACGAGATGAATAGCACCGCATGCACGACACTCCACGTAAATCGCGTCGTGGAAACCGCATCAGGTTGAAACCGTCGTCCAACTGCGTAAAATTGCAACATCGACTCGATTTTCCCGGTTTCGATCAGTGCACGATAAATTCGACGATCGAACGTAACTCACCAGAAAAACGGTTACGGTAGCGTTCAGTTGACGACGTGTCACAGAGAAATTACGTTACGGCTGCCGAATATTTAGGTTAGCTACGGGTTCCTAAGATTCACTCGAGCACTCAAAAAAAAAATGTAACGAAGGTGAAAACGAACTCGGGCACGAACAAACTTGCCCGGACGCCGAGAATAATTGTCCTGCGACCGGAACACGACGTATCACGATACGCGGGCACAGAAATTCGAGACGCACGTCATTTTCTTCACGGATATATTTCCCCTAAATGCTAAGCAAACCTCCTCTTCCGTGAGACTGACACAGCGAACGGCGAATCATTGCGCACGTGCGCCACCTCGCGGAATGCGCCATTAACAAGTTGCTAGCGCAGTGTTGCCACACCGCGCCGTCTGCTATCGTGTCAAAAACGTAAATATATAAGGCTAAATTGTCGAACATTGTAAACGAACTGTCGTCGTTTGTGTACGATCGTTCTCGTTCAGGAATCAAGGAATTCCCGTGACAGACGCTCGGACATTTTTATCGCGTGTTTCTCGAAACGGGAGTTACAAGCAGCGCGCCACTCGACAAGGGAATGCGTGCGATTTGAGCGAAGAGAGCATGTGGAGCGACGCCATTGGCTGAACAGCGTGCGCGAAGTATGACGCGCTCTGGCTATTTTCAGTCTTCTGCTAGTCTATTTCCTTGGCGCGTATTTTAAGACGTTCAAAGGACATTACTATATTGTCGATTATGTAACTGTTGCTCGTATGATTTATTACGCTTGGAAATGAATTCCGTGCTTCTCTAAGGTAAACTTATCGTTCAATTTTAAAGAACAGCCGTACAATTTTTCATTTTCTCTCGATCTTCTCTTTATCTCTGTGATTCATTACTATGTTAATACTTTAATGTAAGAAAATGGCAGGTAATAATTCTGTTTAAGTTTGTAAGAACAGAGAATTAATTTTTACACCTAGTAGACTGTATATTTCATTACTATGAAGGTCTGATACTTTAATGTAACAAAATAGCGGGAAAATAATTCTGTTTAAATTGAAGTTATAGATAATTAAATGTACAAAGGCAGAAAATTAATTTTTACAACTAATAATTTCCTTTTTCTAATCTAGCTATACTTTACTCCGTAACGAGTAGTTATAAAGTTGTGAATTCTAATTTCTTTGTAATAAAGAGGAGGTTTAGCGTATACTATAAGCAAAAATGGTTAAAATTTGTGTTCAAATAATAAATTACGAATGAAACTAACATATAGGAATTTTTTCGCGATGTTTAATTCTTTATTTTTATTATTATAAAACATTTCACTTTCTTATTTCAATTCGAAGTTTTATTGAATGAGTAGTTTATCTCTTTCGGGAGATTGATATGATTGCTTGTTAAGTATAACTTTTAATTTAAACGACTTTGATATGTGTAATTATTATGTATATTGTAATTATTACCACCACACGCAAATTAAATGTATTTGTTCTTTGGAGCAACAATTTTTGCTTTTAATCGAGTATGTAAATGTTTGTTTAGTTGTTTAATAGACAATGTCTGGAGGTTATGTGAAAATTTCAAATTGATTATGTAACGTAGGAATGCTTGAGTTGAGTGTACTCATGTTTAGTTTATGCGAAAGTTATACTAACGAGATTATAAAATATACTCGAAATAAATTGTTAGTTTCTATTGCTGGTAATTTTTTAATAATGGTTACACATTAGTTAATAGTAATATAAATGGTAGTATAATATTAATGGGTACATTACTTCTATTAAGAAAATTTAGAAGGTTATGTTCTTCGGTAACAAACAAAATTGTGTTAATATTAAATTCAAAATTTAAGATATCGTATGCATTAAAATCATTTTTGACCACACAGAAACTGTGTTTAAGTTATTAATATTATGCTATTAATATTAATGTTATTTTAATAAATACATTAGTGACTTGCAACAAAACATTTATTTATTTATTACTGATAAACAAGCTTCTTTCACCATTTATATTTTCCACAGGTTGTTTAATCTACCATTTTGCTTATTATTAAGTGAAGTGGCTAATACATTTGCAATTTAATTACGTTATTAAATATGCTAACGTCGAACAGTATGGTAACGAATAACACGTGTAATTGAAACTGCGTTCATAATTGTTTTATTACTCCCTGCGCGTCAATTCAAACTTAATCACACAACTATTAACTTGTAAACCACTTAAAAACGTCCAGCTGTACGAATGGTCGAACTTGTGTAACACGAAAATTACTTAGTGCTTTTAGCATAAATTTGAATAAATGCTCAGGAAAACTATTATTAATTGATACTTATGATCCACCGTTTATCGACACATGTGAATATGTTAGTAAACACACTCACAAGAACTTCAAATTAAAAAAAAAATCAATAAGGGATATTATGATAATAGGTTCGCGATTTGATAATAATAAATAATATTTTTAGAAGAAAATTTCATTCTAGATCTAGAGGATCTAGTTTTAAATGCGTTAAAATTTGTTTTAAGAAAATTGTTTAATATCTATCCTAATACCGACAAAATATTATTTTTACACAAGGAAGAGTTCTGTTTAAATATATTCACAAAAATAAGTAGTATTTTTAGAAGGAAATTTCATTCCAGATTTAGAGGATATAGCTTCAAACGTGATGTTTATCGTTTGCACAATTCACCCAAAGAAATGATATAATATTAATTTTAGCACCGAAAATACTATTTAAATATATTAACAATAACAAGTAACATTTTTAATATAAAGTGTCACTCCAGATGTAGTGAGTGTAGTCCAGTTTTATTTTAGGATTCTCAGCTTTATTCAACAAAATTATGCAATATTGATCGTAGTATCAGAAAATATTATTTATTACACAATAAAAAATTCTATTCAAATATGCTAACGATTTCTAAAACATTAGACTAAATACTAAAGTATTGTTCGCCTCACAGATGAATAGAAACACTACATACAATTTATCTTCTACATAAACAATTACTCTCCCTACAAATCCCTATTCACTAAATTTAATCTTGTTTGCAATTCAGACTGCAATTTATACCGAACAAACACCAGATTAAAAGCAGCTACTAGTTGCTCCAAAGTTTCCTGTAACAATTTTCGCCGGCATCCAGGCCTCAAGCACACACGAAACTCGTCGCGAGTCGATCGAAAATCTCACTGCCAGTCGATCGTAGCACGTCCAAGGTCGTCACGCGCCGAACCTCGATTTCGAATCAAGTTCGAAGGTCGCGTCTAGGAGAAACGTCCAAGCCAAGGTTAAGTACTAAACTTAAGCGTCGGTGGAAGAGCACTCTAATCAAGGATCAATCGGGGTTATGGCCACCAGAATCTGTCACAAGCGACATACAGTGTACAAAAATAAAAAAAGAAAGTAAAGAAAACTCGCCACGCGATACAAGTTCAATGGTTTCCCGGATGATCCGCCTCTGACCCGCATGAGTTCGACGAACAAGGATCTCACGCGTCGAAACAGCTCTGAAGGAATGATACCTGAGCGAGCTTCGCGTTCCATCGGGACCTCCCCCTCCCCCCCCCCCCCCCCCAAAAAAAAAGATTCCCCTTCCTCCTTTCTCTAGCCGAAGATGGGCACAATTCCATTCGACGTCGCTGAACGACAATCGAGACAAATTTTGAGAGTGAACGTGTCTCATTCGATCATTGAGATTATACATTTTATTCAATTAATTAGAGATACTAGATTGTTCATTTTTGTAGAATTTTGTATCAGATAGTGATTTCAAAAATATGAGTCATAGTTTGGGTTCTTAGATACTTGGAATTTATTTGGTATTAATTGTAGCATAAATGTAAGATTGCTCATTGTTTTAATACTTGACCATTGAATAAGCTGGTAAAGATAGACGTCATAATTTACGTTTCGTTATATTCAATAATGACTGTGTTCTCCGTGGAGGCTTTACTCTTCAAACAATAGCAAACATGAAGTGTTTATGTAAATAATAGAAAAAGAATTAGCATTCAATATTAATTGCGCCTATATTTGTGGCTTAACAATTAAAAAATTATCAATATTAATTGAGTTCTTTTTGGAGGTTTTACTCTACAAACGATATCAAACACGAATTACTTATATAAACAGTATAAAAAATGGATTTCACTCAATATCAATTGTGCCCCCACTGGTGGTTATAAACCATATCAAACATGATATATTTATACAAAAAATAAAAAAAAAAATCGAGCTTTCAACATTAGTTACGTTTTCCTCAGAAACTTCACTCTACAAACCATATCAAACACAAAATATTTACACAAACAATAAAAAAAGAACCAAGCCTTTCTCCTAATTTTTCCCCTTTAATTCAACATTGTCCATCCTACTCATACTTCATACAAATACGTCCTCAATCACTAATCAAACCACTCCAGACAATCCACAATCAACAACATTCTAGTCCTGCATATATAGCAAATGCCCAATGGCCAAGTAAACGAATCCTTGTTTGTGTCTTATTCCGCAATTCGAAATTTGTATTTAGAAGTTTGCCCATCTCCGGATCGAGCCCGTTCCAAACAAGTTATGAAAAACTCGCGCCAACTAACCCTTTATCGACGCTAGTGCGAGCTGTCCTGTTGTACCGAGGAAAATGTCCAAACGATCATATCAAGGTGTCGATTGGGGTAAACTTTCAACGAAGCGCGGGCTAGAAGAGTAAGACGACTGTGGCCAAATAGGCGGTCGGTCGCACGGGACTGGTGGAAGCACTTGGGGAACCGGTCCGAAACCTGTCCGGACAACCAGCTCGCTCGAACGCCCGGGAAGCGACTAGCAGGCCAAAACGCGCGTGCCCTAGCGGACGATTTTAGCACGTCTCTGACGACGACTTCCTAATTATTTTGGCAGAGATGGCCAGGAGGCACTCCGATTCCTCTCCCTCCCTCTCTCACTCGCCTATAGCCCAGTTCAGCTGTCCTTCTCGCTCCACTGTCTCATCCTTATACACCAGTTTTTCCCGAACTCGCCTATCTAGATGCCTACTTTAAAAAAAATAATAACACCGCCTCGGGCCTCGTCGATTCCTCATTTTTTCTCAATCTGTTTACTTAGTGTCAGAGGGCTATGCGAGCCTAGGTAAATATTATTCTTTGTTTAAAAGAAGAGAAAAGAAGAAGAACGAGTATCGCGGAGTGTTCTTGCAAAAATGGACGCGACTAGTGTCTGGTATTTTGATTTCGTTGAAAAGCTCTGTCGGAGGGCGATGGTAATGGACATGTAATGGATAAGTGTTTTGTGTTCTTGGGATTTTAATTAACTCTAGAATTATGCACGATTTTTTGGGAACTTCTTCGGGGCTAAAATTTAAGTTTTTTGCTACTTTCTTATATAATGAATTGTATTTTGAGCAGCTTCTATATATCAGGAGGACCCAGGGATCCAAATCATAGGTACTTCTAGTTACTACCAAGTTGATCATAGTTTCATTTCAGGCCACGTACCTCAAGAGGTTTTTTTAATTCAAATTTATTAATTTCCTCGAGAACGCCATCAAACAATATTATATATATTTCATTTTCACGTAGGTTTTTAACCACTTTCTTATGTAATGCTGAATTATATTTTGGCCAGGTTCTATATATCACAATCTAAACCTAGAGATCCGAAACTTTGATACTTCTAGTTTCTTCCAGTGACTAAATAGATTACAAATTTCCTCCAAGCTACACGCTCGACCTCAACACGATTTCCTCGATTAAAACTTGTTAATTTCCTCGAGAACAATATTTTATGGCTCCGATTAGCGAGAAACACACACATTATGCTCAAAAATAACGCTGGCATGCACGCAATCGCTGGGCATGAGTCATTTAAAGTAAAAGGAGCGAATACGTTAGTGCAAAAATATTGTTAGGTAACCGACGGGCGGTGATATAATATTCGAATCGTAGCGTGGTGGCGGAACGGTTTCTATTTGAAGATGAGATGCAACATGGTGGACGGGCTATAAAGATAGGAAATGTAGTACGTTTGTTGGCAAACAAGTAGAGGTCGTGTTTATATGTAACGTGAGCCTCGCATCGACACGTCCGATGAAGCAATACGCTATGTTAGTCTGGCTGCTACTTGGGGCTAAAAACTACCGATACCGAGCAACAAAACTTTTAATACGCGTGTAACAATACAACCCGTCGGCAATGTAGAATTTACCGACAGAAATAACTTTGGATACTTGGATACTGCAAGAACAACAAGTTACTATATTTATCTCCCCCGTGGAAGAATCCTCTCCAGAAACAAAGTTACCATTCCCAGCCTAACCATCGATTAAGATCTAATTCGTGTTCCATGGTATTGGGTGTAAAAATTAATTCTAAGGTAAACTTACGATTTAATTACAAAGAAAAACCATTCGAAGTAATAAAAAAAAGTCGAAGTGATCTGTATGTATTTATGAGTTGATACTGTAACGTTAGAAATTTAATGTTTAGAGTTGAGAGCTAAAAGCTAGAGTCTAGAACATTCAAAGAGTCTATTTTGTTGGCATTTTCTTAAAATGCAGATCTTTTGATGCTAATGGATTCCGTTGAATTCGACTCAAGTCTCAACCTGATGGTTATTGCAATGGATTTTATTACTCATGAAATTCTGCTTATCGTTATTCTTTAGTTATTACTATTGTCAAGCATACTTGTATAAGAAAAATTTCTTGGCTACCGAAATTGTAATTGTCCATCATTGTAATTAAGACCAGGTTGAGAACTTAGAGGGTTGACAATTCGACATTACAAAATGACGAGTGAATATTTTTACTTGAACTAACGCAATGCACAGAATTAATTTCTACGCCTAATGCGCGTGATCGAAACTCTAAAAGTTATTATCGAAGGACACTCGGATTCGTAATCGAGGAGATCGAGAGAATCTATCCTCTATTGATACTTGGCCTGTCCACCATAGTCAGCAAAGTGACATTGGCCACGAAACCCGATCAACACACGCAGGATCACGAAACGAGCTCGAAGAACGTTATCAGTCGTCTCATAGGACCTCTTTCCCTCACGCCATCGTTAAAAATCCACACTAGGTTCCACAGTGCGGCTAGTCCCTTTTAGCTTTTCTCGGTCGCACAACACTTTGCTCTCGGTGTCCCATGTGTAATTGTCACCGCCGCTCTCCGTCCTTCCAGGCGGTTCCCACACTTGTTTCGGCGTGTACCAAATCACAAAACACTAACTCTCGAACGGTGTCACCCCAGTTGCTGACTTACCAATGCTTCTTTTTCACCAGGCCCGTTTAATTTTTTTTCATCTATTTCGTGTCGACTTTAAACGACGAACCCCGGCACCGTAGGTCCCGGCCTCTCGCACTGATCAGCGCACGTATTTACGTATACTCGTATACGTTTTGTTGTGTAAAAAAAAAACGGAACAAACGTAATTCGATTTTCGTCACACTGTGATATTGCTGGAGACTCCGAATTCGGCTACTCCTCCCTGAACATCGCTCGAGACGCGGTTGGCATGAACTATTTACTCTTTACATGAAGGGTCAGGGCGGAAAACAAACAAACAAACATTCAAAGGGCAACGCCTGCGCTGCTGAACGAAACGAAGCAACGAATCGTCGCCGAAATTCCTTTAAATAGTCCGTAGGCGTCGCTACCTGGCGGCGAGACACCGAACGAGGGAAAACTCTGGCCGGAAGCCAGTGGTCCCGGCGACGGCGGCACAGCCTCCCCGTGACTGTCGTCGCACTTTTTTCAATTTAACCTTCGAATTTCGTCGAGATGACGCTCGTCGGTAGATTCCAAACGCCGCGGAGGAATATATGGCCGCGCTTTCCTACACCGTTTCGCGACCGGGAAGCTGCTTGCGACCGTTATCCAGGTGGACTTCCGGAACCAGCATGTTGCCATTGTAAACGTCGCGTTGGGTGAACCGAAACTTCTTTCGCACAGGAAATTACATTTTTAGATTAGTTTGAACCTCCTTGTAGTGATTTGTAATAATATTTCGAGAGGATGGTATTTTAGAGATGAAAAAAGTTTAATTTAAATGATGAATGGAGTGAACTATTTTATTTTGGAATTCATAGTAGAAGTTTTATATGGAGAGCAGGGAATAAATGGTTAGTTCTTTTTTTGTGACATGCTACTATTGTAGGAACTGATTATACAACTGATATACAAACAAATTTGTGATCTATTATTCCTTCAATAAACATTACAAATAGAATTATAAAATAAAATTTAATCTCTCGTTAAAAGATTAAAGGCTTGTCTAAATATGTAATAAGTAATTATTGTATGTAATATGTAAGCATATAATTATATTGTAAATATATAATTATATAATAATTATTTTGTGAAATGAATAATACGTATAAATTTGTTTTTGCTTATCAGCAGTCTACGGGTTTTATGCAGTCATAGGAAATTTTAATGTGCAAGAAACTACAAAATGCATACAGTATGCAATAATACAAAAAAAATTGAAATTATTGTGTAATGATCATCAAGCCTTTTTTTCTGTAATCCAACTGATTTATTGTATCTTCACTGGATGGACTTAATTCTTGTCTAATTTTCTTAAATAATACTCATAGCTATACATTTTTTTGTATAGATTTTTTATTGTTGTAAGGTTTCATGATTCCTCTTATACGATATATGAGATGTCCTTGAATAAAATATTAAAACTGCACTTAAAAGTACGAAATAATTTGTAGCTAATTTATATGAATACTCGCCAGCTTGAGATATAATCGTTTAAAAGTATTGACAAAATGCAGTGAAAAGTATGAACGAATTTAGTTAAACTATTAAATACAGCATACTAAATGCAATGCAACCTTTTCGGAGACGGCGAAAAATTTAAAATTACCCACATTCAAAATTACCAAACTGGGTTTAACTTTTTGTTGTAGAAACAAAAAATATGACTTTTAATTATTGCTATCATTGCATCTACTTTAGACATCATATATATTAATACTATTCAATATCGGCGAAGTCCACCAAATACTATCACAAATCTACGCATACAGTATTTCCATGGAGAGAATACATATATTTAGCAGTAAACCTATTCAATCAGTATTTCCAGTATATACGTTAACTGTATGCAATATTGCCCCCCTCCCCATCGCCAAAACAAGTACATCAAACCCTCTCAGACAGTATTTCCACGTAGACACTATAAATGTATACATTAACAGCAATCAATATTGCCGCCCCCACCAAAAACTAACTTAAACAAGAATTAAAAATTTTTAATTTTGCGCCGCCTTTAAAAAGGAGCAATTAATATAATTTAATGTAGAGGAAATAGAAATTTAATACATTGTTTAATACAATTTAACATAAAGGAAATAGGAATTATTCCATACTTTTTAATGCAGTTTTAATGTTTTTCGGAGTCGGTTCTATTTTTTTTCCAAAAATTATTTTATTTCACACTTTTTAGTGGCAATCTATAACCAATAGGCTGCAGTAACAAAAGTTATGAACAATACATAGTTGCAAATGGGATCATCTGAAATATATGTGCAACTAAATGTAAAAGGATTCATCGCAATCAGTTAATTTCTTGCAAAAACAATTGTTATATGCAATAAAAAATTCATAAATTTTTGCAAATGTGGTCATCGCGAAAACCTGTCCGGCAGCAAAATGTAAGGAATTTCGTCGATTTTAGGCTACACATACGTGAAGTAATACGCTTTTTGCGATAAAAGTGACATAAAGTGGTAAAAAATAAAACAAGGCCAAATTTTGTATGCACCAAGTGACAGTGGTGCTCTACCAGATGCAAGAGGTTTCATCCTGATTATCTAACATATCTAACATACCGACCATATCTAAAAATAAAAAAATAAAAAATATACATGTCGAATTGAGTAACCTCCTTTTCGAAGTTGGTTAAAAATATGACGAACATTGAGAACTATGACAGACATTGACATAACAATCGAGTACATTGACCCCAATTAATTGCAAGCCATAAGTCACTCCATGAAATATTCAAAATGGTCTGTCAGCGTATTTGTAAACATTTATCAGTTCGTGCAACAAAATTCTTGCCTAAAGTCGTTCTTCAGGTATTATTATTAAAAAACCCAATGTTGGGCAAACATTAATCTCTCCTGCCATTTACTTAATTTGTGTCTGTCTTTTTACGAGCCCACTCTTTGTTTATAAACGCTTTCATTCAAGTAAACTGAATGCGGAAATCGGATCATTTTAACTTCGTCAAATTCGTTAATTTTCTGCTATTAAATCAAAACATCTTATTTTTCTATATTTTTGTCGGAAAATGACAATATCTATTTTCTTAATTTACTTTTTCAGTCGATAACTTGATATGAACAATTAAAGGTTAGCAAATCCGACTCAATTTTGTATCCCACTCAGCTGATCGAACAGTTATGCACGCGCAATGACTCGCGAGAAACATGTGATTGAATTTTGAACTACTTATATCTCGAAAAGGAGGCTTTGAATTGCAAAATGGCAAAGGACTTTTTGATTCGTATTGCGATGAAGAATCGATTTTGACCAGTGTGTACATTACGTATCCTTTCTAGGATTAATTTATATTTAGGGATATATCTCTTTATAATTTTTTCTTTTCCAATCTCTTTCTCATCTCTTTCAGTAATTAAGGTTTCACATTCATAAACTAAAGAAATATAGCAAAAGTGAAGTATCACATTAAGAGTGCATCATGGTTAATTAAAATATCGATGGATTATAGTATATAAATATATTATGTGCTTACTTTGAAAAAAAATTACTTTTGATTTTATACTACTTCATACAGATAATGCTACGTTTATAGGCCCAGCAATTTTCCGCGAATGCTGTGTTCCTTGGCACCAGTATACAATGTTTGTGCAAGTAGATTATTGAATTCAGACGCGTACATTGAACAAAAATACTTGTTACAATAAATTTATTCAATAGACGAAGCTGTGACATTTACGCAGCATAAATAGACAGTAAATATCTATTTGTAGCAATTGAAACGAAAATTTAACAAAGTGTGAACATACAATACGCAGTATGGCATCGCGATAATTATTATTCTATTTTTTGAATTTATACATATTTACTTATTTTTCTCTTTTATTGGCCTCAAATAATGAATGGGACTGTATCATGATCGTTTTAATAATGATCCATCAAAGAAACCATCGACGTAAGATTGGATTACCTATTTTTTCAATAGAACGGTGTTACTAGAAACGTTCAAGGTACACATTTTTCTTAAGAACGAAAATAGTCCGCTTGGCGCTCGTCCAAATGGGATATCAGCTACAACCTCAAAGACAATCCATCGACGGAGACCCCCAACGACCTAACTTGTCCAAGAAATTTGTTATTTCACCCCGATCGACAGTCATCATTTGTATCATCACGCCTTAACACGGCGCAACCACGGTTCAACGCGCAACAGCATCGTTTCCTCTTTTTATTCTACGCACAAACATGCAATGACGAACCTTGATTGTCTTGTGGAAACTACACCTTGTTACATAATTTTCGTTCCTTCTGCGTCGTGTGGTCCAACGTAAAACTGAAAATAAGTCCATGCTATCTCTGTTTCTATCAAAACCGAGATTCCCTGAGTGGCTTATAATTAGAACGCCGGTTTAATTAATTTACGGGACACGCGAGCAGGATAAAATGTATGCGAAGCTTGTGCTGATTGCGTGCAGTTAAAACAAATATAATTGGAATATTTTTGTATTACTTCGTCGTAGCTAGAAATATTTTTATTAGACGTTTATTTAGACGTTATTTTATACGTTTGGGCTAGTGAGAACGAATGAACAGCTGTATCAATTTAAGAATGTTTAGTTTGTTTACCTGATTGGATTCCTTTTGAGTATTAATAAATGAATAATAATTAGTAAGTGTAAAATTTAGACATCTCGTCCTTTATTTTCTGTATTAAGTAATGTATGAAGATGTGAAATAGGATATATATCCATTTAACACTCAGACGTTTAATATATTAATCACCTAACAGTCGTGCATGTTTTTTAGACCTCTCATCCCTTATTTTATATGTTATCTCTTTGACTGCGAAGGGCGTATATATACGTCCTCGAGAAATGAGCTCACAGAAATATTAGTATTCGTTAAATCATTTTTAAAAAATATCAGCTTATAGGGAATGATGAGACGAAACTTTGTTATATTTACAGTTTATTCATAGAATGCTTTGTTTCGAAAATAAAAATTGGAAAGTTAGAAGTTCGTCGCAAAAACTGAATTTCAGAAAAAAGGTGTTTTAAATTTTCAATTTTTATCTCTGAAACTAAACGTCCTATGGATCAACTGTACATATAAAAAAGCTAATATTTGTTTTAAATTCACACCTCTACGCCTCATAAAATTTTCAGCAAAAATCGTCTCGCAGCCGAAGGGTTAATTAATTCAAGAACGTATAAAATAGAAAAAAATATTTATATATGTGTAATAAAATTAAATGAAGTATAATGAAGTATAATGAAGTATAATAAAGTATAATGAAGTAGAATGAAGTATAATGAAGTAGAA